CCCCAAAACCCCAAAACCCCTTAAATAATGATAATCTTGTTTATTCTAATAAAATTCTTTCATAATATTTTGTTGAATATTTCATTTATATCCTTCGGTATATCATATTTCTTAGCCATCAAATGCATATATACCTCATTGAATTTTTTCTTTAGATCAGTATTAATTTCTATTTCTTCTTAATACTGTCTATTCAGCTGTTTTATACTTAATTCTGTAGCTTGATAAATTTTCTATAGATTTATTAACTCTTATTCCAATCCCCCATTACTCCTCTTCCTTGCTTCACTATCAATCTGTAATTCACGGGCATCCTTCATTGCATCAATATAATTTTATCTGTATTTTTCAGCCTGATCTTTATAGTCTCTAACTTATAGAATTAAATCATCTATGTATTTATCAACCTCATTTACTTATTTAAGCTCTTGATCTGTCCTAATCCTCACATTTTCAAATTTTAATAATTATATCTAATCTTTTAACTCTTTATTCTATAAAAGTTTTATCAATATCGAATTAAAAATCAAATTTCCTAGTAATTTAGGAATAAATAATTGTTCAACTTACCTCTAACTCTAGTTCAGTTATGCTAAACCTCAGTCTGTCAACCTCCTTCAGCATCACTCTTTGATCTTCAAGATCAAAACTTAATTTAGATATAAACTAATCCTTTTCCTTCGTTTAAGCTTTTAATTATTTACATTCTAACTCCATCTCCCTAAATGCTTCATCAGAAACTCTTGGCTATGTCACAGACTTGCTTTAAAGAAGGTCTTTAAATTTCTTTTTACTAATAGCTAAATCCTGCTCCAATTCTAAGTTAAGCTTCTATACCTCCTATAGCTTATGTGTAAGTTTTGTAATTCTTTTATCTTGCTCATCTATATGAATATCCTTCTCAAGAAGCAATCCCTTAGGATCTCTTCCCTTTAGATCATAAGTCAAAGACTACTTTTATTAAGCCAATTATTGATTTTCTAATTCTATTTTCTGCTGAGGCAATAGTGGTAGCATTATTTAAGGGTTTGCTGTAATTTAATGTTCCTATATTTTAGAAATTTCTTTCTTGAGTATGTGATTCTCTAAATCCACTTTGTTTTTCATGAGAAAAAGATGGTTTAATTTAAGGTTGTACTGATCTTCAATATCCCGATAGTTCATTTCTGAAACGAAAATTCTTTTGGGCTTTTGCATTTTGTGTTTAAACTAATTAACCTATTATGTATTATAATTTCAATAATAAATTTTTACAATACTGATTAATTTAGCTAATGGGGTTTTGGGGTTTTGGGGTTTTCGGG